GCTCCCCAACCCACTGTGCTTGACTTTAATCTGTCTCCTAAGACAGTGGGAACAAGCCACCACATCAGCATCTTTGGCAGAGTTGCTGATTCATTATGAGGAACTGTCTTAAAATCCCTAAATATGAACGCCTCGCTATTTTCCATTCTCATTCCTAGCTGTGATGGATGTTCAACTATCAACTTGTTGAGATCTAGATGAGCCTTTGGGCACTTTGAGCCTTTAAGCCTGTGGGAAGTTACCTTTTTGTTGTTCCTTTAGGTGGGAGGGGGAAAGGTGGCTTTAGTTGAAATAGAATGATGTCACTTCCCTCTCCTTTCCAGCCCTTCCAAGCCGGAAGTTGATAGTCTCTTTTCCTTCGATTGTCTTTGTTATGTATATAAACATATATATATGTTTATATACATTGTATATATATATATATATATTGTATATATGTATATTGTATATATATATATATATATATATATATATATATATATATATATATATATATATACAACCTGCTGAGGCCACTTTTATTATTTTGTGTAAATGGTTTCCAGGCTGACCACTCTGGATTAGACAACCAATAAAGAGGCTTGTCCCTGGGAGAGACTAATTCTTCTCCCAGAAATCATTAGCTACCCTAGAGGTGGGACCTTGCAAATTTTCCCCTTCCATGTTCATAGGCCCATAGATATGGCCATTGCTCCAGTCTTGTTTGTACAACCATTTCTTGGAGAGACTGTTTCACAGCAGACTTCCTGGTATTCTGGCTCTGACAGGCATTCTAATCCCTCTTCCCAGATGTTTTCTGCACCACAGATGCAGGGGCTATAATATAGACTAATCCACTGGGGTCAGGATGGATGGCGGAGCTATTTTGACTAGGTTAATTGAAGTGGGAAGCCCCATTCCCTATGGGTGGCGCTGTTCCTTAGGCTCAGATCCTGGACTGTGTGTGTACAGGAGACAGTAAGCTGAGCAGAGGCCTTCTTTGCTCTCTGCTTCTCTGTGGATACAGTTTGACCAGCTGTATTCAGCTCCTGCCACCCTGACTTCCAGCCATCATGGACTTCATGTGTGAACTGTGAGCCAAAATAAACACTTTCTCTTTTTAATTGCTTGGTCAAGTGTATCCCAGCAACAAGAAAAGTAACTATGACCCAAAACTCAATTGTCCTTTCTTTGCTGACACAATGAGCAAACCTAAACATCTAGCATCTGAATATCAATCTCATTTCCAAGAATTGGCAAAAAATGTTTATCCTTTGATGTCAACCCCCAACCCCCATTTCATGCATGTAAGCAAAACCCACACACATACATACATACATATATACATACTATATACATATAGTCATACATATATACATAATGGGATTTGTGGGATAAGTGCCCTTATAAAAGTACCACAGGAATGTGTTTTCTTCTTCCAGCATCTGAGGGCATAGCAGAGAAGGCCCTCACCAGAACCTAACCACGCTGACTTTCCATACAGAGCATAATAATTAATTTCTGCAACTTATAGGATATGGATTTGTGGTGGTCGGCGCTCTGTCACTCTAGCGAATGTCTAAGCAATACATCTTACGGAATGAAAAGGTTTATTTTTGGCCCACATTTTTGCAGGTACCATTCCATAAGCTCATGGACACAGTGCCATCATGCCTATGTCAGCCATTAAAACAGCAGAATTTTTCACTGCATGACTGGGAAGAAAAAGAAAAGAGGAGAAGGCTGGGACTCTGACTATTTGTTTCAAGGGTGTACCACAGAGAGCTGAAGGCACCCCACTGGGCCCACCTCTGAAAGACCCTGCCATCTTTAAGTTCCATTCTGTAGAACAAACTTTCAACTGATGGGTCCTCAGGGGACATGAGATCAAACCAGGACACAACAGTTCACTGTTTTGTTATATAGACTATATGGACTCATATTTTGTGTCTCTGAGTATGCTGGGCGCACTCGGGTCTTTATCCAATGTCTGCCTATGTGCAGAGCTGTTTCAGCTGGATACCAGCCCAGCTGACATCATGTCCCTCTTCCAACAATAACACATTTATAACACAATAACACATTTATAAAATGTCTTCTTTATAACACATCTTTAAAGACTTATTGTAGCCAGTGTTTGCTACTTTGTGGGTTCTTTCTTCCACTTTTCCGCACCCCTTTTTTTCCTCCCTTTCAACCCCCTAACACTAGGTAGGGGAAAAAATGATAGAGGGGAAGAAAAAAAAGAGAGAGATTCCTGAATAAAGTCAGAGGTCAGAAAAGGGGTGACATTATCATTAGTCTACTTCCTGCTGATTAGGGTGTTAAGCTCCCTGGGGCAAGTTTGATCTTTCCCTTTCGGATATTTAATTTCTTCTTGTTTCTTCTTTGTGAACTACTATTTAACAAATCTCAACCAATAGCAAACAACAACCAATGAACAACCCACTCTGTCTCTTAGAACTCTAGAATTATAGACTTTTTGAAAAGTCCGCAAAATTCCAAAGGTCACACAATCACAGCTAACAAAATCACATTTCTGCTAGATTACGAGGCAATCATAGTTAGCTGCTTTGAATCGGCCCCATATCCCACACTCAGGATTAAAATAAAGACATATTCTTAAATGTTTCTGTTGTTTTAAAGAAAGCAAAACTCCAAAAATTTCACTACAATTTATACTTAGTTTTCTTTCTGTGTATGTGTAAGCCTGGGTGTCTGTATGGGCAACATCTCTTCGGGTGCCCACGGAGGCCAAAGGAGGCCATTGAATCCCCGGGACTAGACTTACAGAATGCTGTGGCCTGGCCACTGTGGATACTAGGAACCAAATCTGGGTCCTCTGCAAGAGTAGTATGTGCTTTTAACCCCTGAGCCATCTCTCCAGCCATTCTTTTTCTTTTCTTTTCTTTTCTTTTCTTTTTTATCTTTACTCTTCATTATTTGCTCTCATTATCCTTAATGGCATATGTCTTACAAATGATTGTTAACAACAGACAATGACAAACATGACTGATCTAAAAAACAAACCACTACAAAGGGGAGGCCATCATACCCCTGCACTGAATTCTGAAATCTACCACTAACACTGCTCGAATTGCTCAAGATCTGTTTACAGCCACGCTGTACTGGGGGATCATTCTGCACCAGCTGAAGTCTCCATCAAGCACACATGTGCTAGAAAAGCCTCGGAGATGCAGCAGTGTAAAAAGTAGGAAAACATTTGCCATCTGCACAAAAGAAAACAAAGTTCTCCCAGTAACTCTGTAGCTCCACAAATCACAGCTTAGAATACTCATTCATCATTTCTCTGCCCCAAAATGTGACTTTTTGACATGCTGCTAACACTTGTTTTGATTTCCTCATATTTAATTTGCTGTTTAACCCAATCCAATTTTGCCTCTATCCTCAGACAGCAACATATTTCCAAATCCATTTGCTATTGCTTCACATCTTGTTTGGGCTCTCAAATTTTAAACTACATTTATTCCTGTGTGTGTGTGTGTGTGTGTGTGTGTGTGTGTGTGTGTGTGTGTACAGCACCATGAGTGCAGTAAGAAAACAATGTACAGGAGTGTTTTCTCCTTCTACCATGTGAGTACCAGTTCCAGCTATAAAACTGAAGCAATAAATTAGGCTTGGCAGCACCTTTACCTGCTAGGGCATGTCACCAGGCCCCTGGGCTCTCAAAATGACAGCATTCTCCTGAGCTCCTTGACATCAGACCCCCTGAAGTGACTCCTTTTCTTTCCTGATTGCTCTACTTTCACCTGTTTTTCCTCCACCTGCTCGGTTTCTATATGCTTGCTTTCATAGTTCTGTCCGTTCCTCTAGCTTAAAGCTTCATTCATGCCCAATCCCCCACACTTTCAAATTCTTAGAATTCTTACTGTTCTAACAGTGGGTCACTCCTTTGTTTAGAAAGGAAAAAGCTAAGCTAATGCTTTCTTTTCTGGGTTCCTAAGTCTGGCATTTCAAGTCACCTCTTCTACATTTCTACTTGCTTTTCAAATCCACATTTTTATTTCTGTGTGTTCATAATTTGGTGCCTTAGGAAGTCTCTGTTCCTGTAAACTTTCATTTACCTATGCTGGAGCAGAAGCAACACCCTTGATTTATTTATTTTCTCATACTCCTGTCTTATTTACCCAATACTCCTGTGTATTTCCAACTCCACAGCCATCTCTGGCTCTGCATTCTGTGCCACTCCTGTCCTGTCTAGCCTTCCATCACAGCCTTTTTGCTTGTGACCACATTTTTCACAAGTCCTAGCCAGTCCTACCCCTCCCTGTGACCCAGCTGCGTTGCTGACTTCTTTGCCTCCAATAAACCGAGCTGTTTGCTGTCTGTCTGTCTTCCTTTTCATTTGTCTGTAATTCCCTGGAATCTTCTCTCTCAAATCCCTTTGACTTTCCCTCCCTCTAAAGTAGCCCCGCCCGCACTTGCACTTCCCCTGATACACCATCTTGCCTACCTTTACTTACTAACCTAAGCAAAGAGCATTGTGCCAGTAGCTAAGGCCCCCTAACTAAAAGATTAGCTTGAGACCAAGGGGATCCTTGAGCTAAGGGTTTGTCTGGTAGGAGGTGCTCATTCATCACTGTTAAATTATTGACTAGAGGGCTACTTGAGTGAATGAATGACTGATGTCAAGTTCCGCTGACCTTTTCATGTTCACAGGGGTGATTCATTCTCAGCCACGTCGAGCTACATTATCAATTTGTTTTCATGAATGATGATAAAAGGCACTGGGCAGCTAACAAGGAAAGCAAAGGTGACGATGCTGATAGAGTCAGAATGTCTCCTGGCCAATGTGGTCAATTCCCAAACAAATGATATCCGCTTATCAATCATTGTCCTTTTTCTGCCAATTAGATCTCCCCAGAGGAATCATCAGATCAGCTCAGTTCTGAAGATTGACAAGCTGTCCCCGTGGTCTCCTTTGCCCGGTGAAGACTCCACACTAAGGGTTTTTAAAGCCCCAGGTTGCAAGAGGATTAGAAGATCCGCTGGTCGAGAGAGCAGCTGTGGGGCTCTGGAAAGGGCCAGAACATGAAGGTAAGCAGCAAAGTTGTGCCTCTGACACAGCTGCTCTACGAACTGTTCGCCTTTCTACCTAGGTAATATTTAAAGAGCATTGTAGTTGACTGCACATTTGAGGAATGTGCCTTTAAATAGTGCAGCCTTCTGACTTAGCTGAGTAAAAGAACTTATTCCCCAATTCTTTATTTGGGTGAAGTTATGAAAATCATATCTCTCTAAGTTCTAAAGTTACTCTTTATGGATTAGCTAGAAAGTAGGAACATATACTGAAGTGAGAGCGTCTGGTCCGCTCTGAGGAGGCAGAAAGTCCAGCGACACTCAGATGAATCTGTGTTTGGTTGATGTTTCCTGTAGGGACCCAGGAGCCTGGTGGTGACAGCTCTGGCCCTTCTTTTGGTGTTGTCTGTCCTGGAAAACTGCAGTAGCGCTCCACAGGTAACAGCATGCAGAGAATACAGGCCCTGGGTGCAGCCTCTTTGCTTTTCTTCCTTTTCACCCCTTTGTCCTGAGTTAATTGTGCTTCTCTCCTTCCCCTGCCGCCACGCTGGGGCAGCAGAGACTCTTTGAGAGGAGAAACTGGACTCCCCAAGCTATGCTCTATCTGAAGGGCGCACGTGAGTTCCAAAGTCTTTATTTTCTTCACGAGGTTGATGGGAGACACCCAGGGAATCCTGGAAGCCACGGAGCCGGGGCTCCGGGAGACAGTGTCACAGGTGGTTCCAGGAAATAGTCTCTCAGACAATCTAGAAAGGACAGGCGAGGGCGGGCAGCAAAGACGAATGTACCCTGATGGGCAGAAAGCCTCCGAAAGAGAAACCCGGTGGCGGTGGCGGGGATTTCAACTAACTGTAACTCCTGAACTCTTGAAGCCGAGGCAGGAGGACTGCTGTGTGTGCGAGGCGAGCTTGGCCTACATAGTGAGTGCCAGGTCTGACAAAGATGCTGTCGGGGATGGAGGAAGGAGGGAAAAGAAAGGCGGCCGGGAGGAGGGTCCAGGAAAGGCGGAAAGGAAGGGAAGGGAAGGAAAAGTGGGGAGGGGGTGTAAGAAAGAAGGAGGGAGTGAAAGCAGGTTGTTTGGTTCAATGAGAGAACTACTGCTTCTTTGCGCGGACAGGGCGTCTGGGGCTGGAGAAGCATCAAATGAACTTGACAAAGGAAGTTAGGAAGGGGAGGAAGGGAAGGGACAGGCGTGTGCGAATCCCCGCAAGGCTGCTCTCGGGGTCGCCTCCCCAGAGGGAACCCGCGGGGTCCCCAGGCCTGGGGGCTGGCTGTCCGCGCTCAGCCGCCTCTCTCCCGCAGAGGGCCGCCGCTTCATCTCCGACCAGAGTCGCAGGAAGGAGCTCGCCGACCGGCCACCTCCAGGTGGGTGAGCGCTGTGCGGCGGGGCTCTCTACCCGCGCTGTCCCCGGCAGGTAGCTGGTGAGCTGGGGTGGGGCAGGAGAGGGAGGGGGCTACTGGCAGGGTCTGCGCTGCAGGCTCGGGGCAGAGAGACTATGCTGGTTCAAAAAGCCCACCCGGGTATCTATGGAAAGATCCTTGCTCTGTCTCTTCCTAAATACCGGTTACTATGACAGAATTACTTAGAAGCTTCAAGTGCATCTCCCTCTTCAATTACTTAGAAATCAGCCACCAAAAGTTTTTTAAACAAATGCAATAAAGTAAAAACCATTAAAAATAGGGCCAGGTATAAATGACTGAGGAAGGATCAGTTTTCTTCAGGAACGGGCGCTGGATATGCTATCGAAGCCCAAGTATTCAGCCCTAAACACTTGTTTACAAGAGGAAGGGAGAGAAGAAGGAAAGGAGGGAGGGAGGGACGGAGGGGAAAAGAGGGAGAATTATGGAAAAAGTCATGAATTAGAGAGGGGCCATAGGGAGAGTTGGGGACAGAGAGAGGGTGGAAACTGTGCAAACAGTACTTATCATGAACAAAATTTTCAGAAGTAAAATTAGTGATTTAATATGCCTGGGCGTGTTGGTACCCATGGGGGACCTCCCACTTCTCTGAGGAGAAAGAGAGGGAAGAATGGGGGGAGGGGTGTGTGAGGAGTTGTGTGAGGTTGTGTGAGGATGGGAACGGGGGAGGGGGGGTGCTGCGATCAGGATGTAAAGTGAATAAATAAATACTTTTAAAAGGAAAAACAATAGGACCAGGGACAGTTCCTTGATGAATTTCATGTCATTGAAGTTTAAAAAGAAGAAAAATTAATTTTTGTAGAATTTTGTGTACAAATACTAAGAATAGAAGTATTTGGAGAAATACTTAGTGCTGAGCATACCCGGAGCAGATGCTCCACAAGCTTTTGTCTCAGCTCCTGCGTTTGCAGTGTGACTAATCGCATTTTGTTAGGGTAAAATACTCTTCTTCTCTTCCTGTTACTTCTGATTGAAACTCAAGGTCTGTACTGGATTGAGAAGGTGTCATCTATCAACTTAAATTGGAATTGAGTGTGGGAGCATACCTCTGCGATGCAATAAACATGTAACTTAAGAAAACTGAAAAAGCTCTGAATATGTAGACAATGTATCTTCAGCCAAATAGCTAATTACCTCATATGTGGCAAGAGTGTGGGATGTTTATCTCAAACTGATTTGGGAGGAGACAAAGAGGAGCTTCAGGATCCAATGGAATCATGCTGGAGTCTTTTAGCACAGACAACCTGTTTTAAGTGGTAGAGGGAAAATTCACCCTTAAGCCCTGAAGGGGGAAAGGTGCTGTGGTTGGCCTCTTATTCCATCTTTCTCTTGTGCCATACTCCTAGCATACAGTGCATATTCCTCTTCCATCCTCTGTTATAAACACAGCAAAAACAATTGAAAGTCATTTCTAAGAGAAATACAATGCTTCAGTTTATGAAGGTCATTGTGGAGCCAGCAAGACTGACCAGCAGGTAAAGGCACCTGCCACCAAACCTCACTGCCCTAGTTCAATCCATAGGACCCATAAGTAGGAGAGAGGAAATGCCCCAAAGTTGTCCTTTGAACCTCACATGAGCGCACACGTGTGCATGTGTGCGTGCAGTCATGCACACACATGAGAATGCATTAAATCAAATGCAATATAAGTGTTTAAATTAATGTTTTCTTAAATCAGCATGCAGTGTACTCTGCTTGCAGGTCAAAAGTCTGCACCACAGAGGTTTTCCTAGTCTCACACAGCAGAGTCAGTTTAATTGACACAAATATCTGAATGCTAATTTATTAACCGTGCTTAATTGACATGAATATTTTAATGCTGCTTTGTGTATCTGAATAACAAGGCTGTGTATATTTCTGTTTCTCCAGAAAAACGAAACCCACATCTTCAACTGCTGACTGTCCCAGAGGCTGCAGCTCTGTTTCTGGCTTCCCTGCAAAAACTACAAAGAGGTGCAAGTGTGGTGACTTCTTTCTATTCTGGACTGAGGAGCTTTGCATATGGACTCCTCCCTCCCTAGACCCACAGAAATGCTCATTCAACAAAGGCCAATGTACTTCTCAGTGAAAAGAGCCCTGAGAATACAAAAACACTACGTTGATGACAATGGGGAATTGAATATGAATTTCATGAACCTAGCCTATTGTTAGTAACGTTTATTTGTTTGTTTTTAATACAATGCCTTCTGTGTCCCAGGCTGGCTTCAAATTCTTTAGGTAGCAAAGGGTGGCCTTGAACTCCTTATCCTTCTGCCTCCACCAAACAGGACTTTTAAAACTGAAGGAGCTCCAATCATTTTCATTGTTGTATAATTGAAAACACTAAAGCCAAAAAGAAAAAGAAAGAAAAGAAAAAAGAAAAAGAATCAAAATCCAATTGCTCACTATTTAAAATTAATGCCAATGAAAGGGCTGATTGCCAGTCCTTTTTCACTTTCACACACAGCAGTAGATATGGCTCACCTTAACAGGGGCAGCTTTGACTGTAGGACTGTGTCATTTTCTCTTAGTATTTAGCTTCTTCTAAGCCATGAGTGGATGTAATCAACAAACAGCCATTCTGTCCATGTGGTCTAGAAGTACCAGCAGAATTGAGGCATCTTGGTAATGGGTCAGCTAGGTCAGCTAGGAAGTTCACAGACCTGGGTGTAAAGCCTAGTTTTGTCAACTTTTACTAGTCTTGTGACCCCGACACAGCATTGGTCCCACGACTCTGGGGACCCATTGTAATGACGTACATAGTGAGTGTGTATACACGTAGCATGTGCAGACATGTGTGCATGCCTGTGGAGATCAGAGGTTGTCACTGGGTGTTTTCATCAATCACTTCCCACATTAGTCTTTAAAGACAGGTCTGTCCCTGAACCTGGAACTCACTGATCAGCTAACTGGCTGGTCAGTGAGCTTCCACAGATCCGCCTGTCTTGCCCCTGTCCCACCACGGCCACCACTGAGGTTACTGGCATGTGCCACTATGTCTGGCTTTTATGTGAGTGCTGAGAATCTGAGCTTAGGTCCTCATGGGCACTTTATTGACTGAGCTCATCCCTCCAGCCCCAACTCATTTTATTATTGACAGAAGACATCATCAGCTGGGCATGGGAACAAAATGAGAAGGAGCTGGATATCAGACAGAGGGTGTGGGTCCAAGGTGACTGATTTTAGCTTCCAGTGTGACACAATAACCAGGTCTTGAAGGAAAAGAACTTTGATGGTGATTGACTGACAATAGATGCGGGTGTTGGGAAGAGGTACAGAGATAGATACCAGGCTACAATAGGAGAATTCATTTTAAGGGAGAGGAGGACCACCATTCTAGGTCCCCATTTCAAGTGTTTTTGGAAAACAAGTATAATGTGTTAGTTATAGAAGTGAGCTTTTTTTTCCCATATTTACTTCGGTGTTGGGTACATGCATGCCGCATTGCATATGTGGATGTCTGAGGATAACTTTTGAGTCAGTGCTCTCCTTCCACCATGATGGTTCCAAGAACTGAAATCAGGTTGCCAGGCTTGACAGTAGGTGCCCTTACCTGCTGTGCCATCTCACCGGCTCTAATGATTGACACATTCTGAGTAGCTTGTCTCTGGAGATGAACTGAAGAAGCAAAGTTTTAGTAACCTAAATAAATGGAGAAGTTTTGGATTCCCATATGATATCAAACATTAATCTGTAGTATTTTCCTTGAAGAGTCTCTAGGTATCATCTGGGAGTTTCTTACATCATAAACTTAAATTTCCATGGCATTTGTTCTGGGATATTTTTCTGTTCCATCTCTAATCCTTAGGCATGTATGTGTCTGTGTCTCCGTCTATGTGTCCACATTTTCCTTCCCTCTAGAGAAAAGCACATTATTTACTAACTTTCAAATGAGGTGAGCAATTGAGGTAAACTGGGATTCAAATTATATTGTGACTAACTGAGAGAATGTTGTTTTGTCTAGAAGGCAATCTTGGGAAAATTAAAATCTAGGGAATGCATGCTGCATCAGCCTCCCTACAGGTTTCATCCCTTCTACTTTATATTTAGGGTACTTTGATCCTGCAACTGTCTAATCTCATAAGACACTCTAGCCTGACATTTGCATTCCCATACAGCTGACAAGTGTCTTTGCCTTTGGCCTCACTGCTTTTTTTTTAATTTTTTATTAATTACACTTTATTCATTTTGTATCCCCCCATAAGCCCCTCCCTCCTCCCCTCCCGATCCCACCCTCCCTCCCCTTTCTGCATGCATGCCACTCCCCAAGTCCACTGATAGGGGAGGTTCTCCTCTCCTTTCTGATCTTAGTCTATCAGTTCTCATCAAAAGTGGCTGCATTGTCCTCTACTGTGGCCTGGTAAGGCTGCTCCCCCCTCAGGGGGAGGTGATCAACGAGCATTGGCCTCACTGCTTACCCAGAAGAAATTATCTGAAGGAATATTTTCACATGTGTTCCCGTGTCACCGTTCCCATTTAGCAGCTATCTCAGCAGGAAACACAGGCCACAGTGTTTTGATGCAGGTGGTTGGTTATGATGGCAGGTGTTTAGACTGAAGGCATGTTCATCAGAGAAAGACATATAGCCTCTTTAGACTTCTGCTAGACTTCACAATGTGCTTTATTTATTGTAAAGATTTGTATGTTAGGGGCTGGGTGTTGCTCAGTTGGGAGAGTGTTTGCCCGTCAAGCACAAGGCCCTAGGGTTCAATCCCCAGTACTACATAAAGAAGCACTGTGGTAAATGTCTGTTATCCCAACACTTGGGAAGTGGAGGCAGGAGGATCAGAAGTTCAAATTCCTCTTCAGCTACATAGATACTGGATTTAAAATTGTGGATTGCCAGCTGTGTCCCAATATGAAGGGAGACATTTTAAAGCCAAACAAATGAAAACCCAATCTGTAAAATAATTGTTAATGGCATCGACCATGACTAATTTAACTTTAAGAATCAATTGTCTATTTATTGAGGTTCTTTCTGTTCTGCTCTCTAAAACCAACAACTTTAAGTTCTTCTTCTTTTTCTTTCTTACAGATGAAGGAGAGAATTTTGATCAAAACAAATTCTTGGAAGACAGATTGTTGAACTGGTGAAAATCCACCAAGACACATTCAAGTGTAGGTCTGTTCATGGTGAAAACTTGAACCATGTGAAAAGGGTCCGTGTACCCTTCTTTCCACACCTGTAATTCTAGACACCCTCACCCCTAGGTTTAGTCACATGTTATTCCTGTCAGAGCACCATCACAGTCTACTGCTTTGGGTTGACATCACCTGTGTCTTACATAGGCTTGGATTTTATAGGGCCTTTCAATGTCAAGGCTGAGAACTCATAAATGTTCTTTCTTCTCCCTGTAGTCGGGCCCTGCCTTTAGCTATTTGTTTTCTCACCCCATCACCCTCGTGCCCTTTGGTGTCACTCGGCAACAATCCTCTCTGTTTCCCCTTTCTCATCCCCAGTAAGAAAGAGAATGTTAGGACAGGAAGGGGTAGTATGTCTTTTTGTAACTCATCTAGGAGAGGTCGGTTAAGGAGGGAGGTGAGGAGAGGGTGCCTGGCTAAAACTCCCCGGAAAACATTTCACTGTCATTGCTGAGACGACAGATGTTCCATGATTCTGAAACCCTTGGAAGGTCTGTGGAGACCAAGGGAGCCTCTTTGTGTTCCTAGGAGATGTAATTAAATGCCACTTAAAAACTTGGACCTTAAAGTCACTGGCAGATAAGCAGATGGTGATGGAGTTTTCTGGAGCTTATGTTACACAAAGGTGCAAACCTGTCATTCGGGATCAGAGGTAGCCCACTTTCCATGGCTGAAAAATACTTCATCATGATGTTACATTAAGGTACCCCATGACACAAGTGCACGCCCTGTGCATGATTTATCGTTTTCCAAACAAGTGCAGGTTTAATATCATACGAACATGTGTGAAAGCACACACACACACACACACACACACACACACACACACACAGGCAAAAAGTGGGGTAATTTTGGGGTAAGATCCCCACAGCAAGCAAAATAACTCATTTGGAATTACATCATGATCACCATAGTACATTTTACCTAATCAGTTCAGAGTCATTAACCATGGTTAATGACCAAATATTGATTTTTATAGCCTCCAGCGTACAGCTATTACTTAGTAGCCATAGAATATCTTTATGTGAGTATCTCTGTAATCTGGTATTTTTTAACTCATTGTGTTAAGTAGTCAAAACCATGTACATATGTTTTGTCTGCTTCTCAGTTCATAATTAAATAATAAAACTATATCAGGTTAATGTACCATTGGCTTCTGCCCAAAATGTTCAAGTACTAAGTCTGTGCGGCATCATCACAGGCACCTGTCAGTAGCCATGACGTGACTTTTAGGTGAACTTACTGGAGAGTCTCTTATCCAATTTACTGATCACCGAAGGGACACCCACTGGCATGTATTGCTCATTTAAATCGTTTCTTTGTTTCTTGCTCAGGAAGTGGCTCATCTCACAGCTGCCCCATACAATCTCGTGCTGTATGTTCCATGCTGCAGTGTAAGTTTGTAAAAGCTGTCTAAATGACTGTAGCTACTCAAGTGATACCGTCTCCTCATCACATCCCTGAGACACTCCTCGGTCCAGATGTGTCCAGATGTGCTCGGAAGTGATGTGGCCCCCTCTCTCCAGTTTGATAAACATTCCAACCCTCTTTGAATGTGTCTTTGTTGGCTTTTCATTGCTATAGGAGATTGCCTGAGACTTGGTGATTAAAGAAAAGAGATCTATTTTGGGTCAGAGTCTGGAAGGCTGGGAGGCCCCAAAACATGCCTCTGGCATCTCCTATGTGACTAGAAGAACCTAGTCCTGTTCACAGCCTGGGAGAAAAGCAGAAAGCAAGAGGACGTGTGAAAGAGGCGGAACAGAAGGAGAGGACACATTTCATGCTAACACATTCCGGTGTAATGACCCAGTTCGCAAGCCCTCAAAGAACTGCATGAATCACTTTTAAAGACTGAATCGCATTTTAACATTTTGTTTACAGTGGGAGTTTAACCCAGGGTTTGTGCATGCTCAGTATGTGTTCCTGGGATTCACAACCAAGGCTTTGTTTGGATCACGTCTTAAAAGGCCCTCCCTGACTACTTCCCCTCGAGAACAGGGTGTGTTCCCAAGTCTCTTTATTTAAACCATTGTACAAACTGAAATGAATAAGGTCACACATCAGAAATTGTTTATGTTATAGCACTCGTATTTTAGGTGGGAAATTGCTGACATCAACGCATACACATGTGCATACACACGTACATGGAGCATCTCTGCAGGATTGCTTGCCACTTTCTGCACGATGCAGGATATCCTTCCCCTCATTGCATCACACCTTACTGGATTGTTCTGTCTCTCTGCATTGCTGGTAGAAATCTCCCCAAACCCCAACACCACTGTAACTTGAAACAGGAGAGACAAGGGCAAAGAGGCTCTGCCTTGTTCAGATCAGTATCCGATCCACACCCCTTGTGTGCTTGGTTAGAAATGTGAGTGTATATTAGCAGCCATGAGTCTCCTTGTTTTGTGTTGGCCTAGGTGAAAGGATGCTTGGCCACACAACCTCACTGAGTTCAGTCTTTCCAGTGACTATTCCTTCAGGAAGAGCTCATTTCTCATTTCATGCCATTTAAAACCACTGTGTGATGATGCAGCCACATCCATGTTACTTCATAGAAAGCTGGGCTTGTCCTATGAGGCCTCTTTGAATCTCCTAAAGGAGAGTCCTCCCTGTGTCTTGAAAAACCATCAAGCCTAACATCTGTAAGACCTAAAGCTGCGTGTGTAAAACCAGGTCTGTTTACCATGGCATTGCCATAGAAGGTGAGCGGTGGTTTCAGTCTGGCTGCTAAAACAAAGTGCCCTGCACTGGCCATTTAACAAAAACAGATTTGCTCTTAGAGTTCTGGAAACCATAAGGCCAGCATGTTGGCAGAATGGATGTATGATGAGGACTACTTTCCTGTAGGTGGTTCTTTGCTGTGGCTACACTTCTATATGATAGAAAGGCAAGGGGACTCCCTAGGGCCTCTCCTCTTCCTTCTCCTCATCTTTCTTCTCCTCCCCTTCCTTCTTCTCCACCTCTTCTTTCTCCTCCTTTTTCAATTTCTGCCCCCTCATCCTTTTCCTCCCTCTCCTTCTCCCTCCCTTCCTTCATGTTTTCCTCCCACCCTCCATCTCTCTTTCCCTTCCTTCTTTCTTCTTCGTCTTTTCTCCCTTATTTTGATTGTGGGTATTGAACTCAGAGCCCCAAGCAACTAAACAAGGAGTCTACCTCTGAGCTACATCCCTCCCTAGTTTGGTGGTCTCTTCTAAGATTGCTAACTTCATTCCTAATGATTATACCCTAGTGACCAAAACACCTTACAAAAGCCATGGTTCCTAACCTTATTATATTGGGGGATTTTTTTTTTTTAAAGCAGGATTGAGCTTTGTATAATTTAAGTCCCTTCTTCCTGGATATGTTTTAAAAGATGAATTCACAACCATCTTGTATGTTGGCTTGATTCATTCATTGCTTGTATCCATGGGGAAGCAGGAGCAATGACCGCCTCCAATTGGTCTTCAACCATGTGACATGGTGCCTCTTCCACAGTCACCCTCAAAACACCCAGCTCTAGACAGATCAGCTCTTGTATGGAGAATTTTCAGAGCAAGGTTAACTGGCACAGCAGTCAAGGTGATCACTATGCTGTGGGCGGGACACAGTGAATGCTAGTCAGTTATAAAAAGAAAAACTGGGTAAGGCAGGTTCTGTTGTTGGCGTTTTGTCAGTTTTGATTCCATTATATTGGAAACATAAATCTGCTTATGTACCATCGTTCAACTATCCCCTTCAATACATCACAGGAAATGTTAGAGAAACTGCTCCCATGTTTAAGTAGATTTCTACTTTTTCTGTTATTTTTTTTCTTTAATGATCACGTTCAATGACATTAGGTACTGTTCATGACAAATGCTTCTCATGTGTTTTTATGATTTCTGAAGCAGTTAAAGCAAGATATTATAAAAGAAAATAAAATCTGTAAATACCAACGTATTTATGCATATAGATTTGGCAATTTATTATCTGTAAAAGATTGAAATTTCCATTTAGACAAGAGTACCCTTACTGTAAAGTGACACACACAACTTACTATCAATGATTTGGACACAAATTCTAGATATCAGAAGTCAAGTTGTAAATATCCATTGGTCTACATCAGTTTGAACTTGGGGTTTTGACAGTCATCTGCAGAGAAAAGTGCAAATTCATGGCTTTAATGTACATAATAAATGAATAACAAAGTCTCACTTGTCTAAAGTACTTGAGTCATGTGATCATAGTTAAGATTTGCTATCTGCTGGAAGAGATTTGTTTGAGTATAGAAATTCATAAATATTAATCAAAGGATTATAAAGATAGTCATGTGAAGAGAAATCAGTAGCTAAAATTTTCTGATCAATTACATAAATCATTTTTTTAAATGTAGGATCTTACTCTGTAGCCCAGCCTGGTCTTCACATTATGGCAATTCCCCTGCCCAAGACATGTGAAAGCTAGGATTATAGCTGTGAGTCACCATCTCCAGCCAAATAAACCATCTTTAAAATATCTCCAGTCCTGCCCCTTTAAAAACCATCATCATCTGTAAATTTACAGGGACAAGACTCAAAGATAAAACATAGGTTTTATTTCAAAAGTGTCATTTTACAAAAGTGTCATTCACTGAATCTCTGGTCTTCATGGGCAAAGACTAGATTCCATAGAGATTCTCAGAAGAAAAGGAATAGCACTTTTTTACCCCCACGACGAATCATTCTCACTTTGTTTGAGCCGAATCAGTTCTTATATTCCCCATGAAGTTTTTTCTTCCCCTTTGGAACATGGTTCAGAGAAAACGGTGACTTGATGTTTAACCGATCCCTCTCGGCCTCCTCTTCCTCATCATACCTTTCATCCTCATCTCCTTCATCTTCCACATCACTGCTCTGAGGACTGGAGTTCTGAGATCCCAGTGGAGAAGGTGGTACTGAGGAGGGCCTGGGGTACTTAAACCCATCCGTCTACACAGACAAGTAAGGCACAAATGTTATAAAATGACAACAACAAAACAACAACATCTTGGTTTTCTCTGTTTTGTTGTTGTTGTTGTTTTTGAAATAGGGTCTCTCTCCATAGCCATGGAACTGGAACATGTCCTGGAACCGACAATACTCACAGTACTTTATCTGCCTTTGCCTCCACCCTTGGCTGGTTTTCTCATTATTAATGTAAGGGTCTTTAAAATGTTTTAATTACATTGTGTAACTAACATACACTCCTGCACACACATGCCCACTCATTCACACAGTTGAATACACACTCACATACGCCTACGTGCACACATGAACACGTATGCATGCATGCATACACGTGTGTACACACACACACACACACACACACACACGCTCCAGATACCAGAGGAGCTCATCATACTCCCTGGTGTTGAAATAACAGGGGATTACTCCAGGAGGAGGGCTGGCAACTGAACTCAAGTCCTCTAAAAGATTGGCAAGCTCTCTTCACTGCTGAGCCACCTCTGACTTGGTTTGCAATGATGTAGCAGTTTGAGCGCTAATTTAACTGTTTTGGGGTAGTCAGTTGTGATCCTTCGGGTGCTCATGAACTTTGAGTATGGTACTATCAACATTAAATAAATTCATTAACCACACAGTTATCTTTGATTATGCACTAAAATATACCAAGTGCTATCCATACTGTCTACAATAATTGTATATAATTATATTCTATATAATTTTTTTAGCAATAATCTCATAATTTGTTCTTCCTGATCCTGAGAGAGAGAGAGAGAGAGAGAGAGAGAGAGAGAGAGAGAGAGAGAAAGAGAGAGAAAATTGCTTGCTGGAGGCCACAGCATGTGAGGGGTATAGTGAAACTTAGTGCCCGGTCTGTGACAAACCAGGAACTTTCTTTGGTCTCAGTGGCCATATCTGTTGTCCTTCAGATATTTTCAGAAAATTCCAGGACACAGGCAACTAAGTAGGCCACTGACAGCCATCACTATAGAAAATCACAATGGTTGGGTGACTCTATTGATTCCAATGTTACCAATTGCATCATTTTAGTTAGTGAGGAAACAGCACTGGGCTTTGGTGACACTGCTCAGCTACCCCAGAGTCCCTGAGAAAGCTCACTTGACTATTGAGCACCAGAGTTGTGTGTCATGAATCACAGCACCACCAGGGCATAGCTTGGAACACACGGTTCCTGCTTCACAGGAATGCATGTGCTTGAGAGGCACTGGTCAACTTCTATTTCAATCATTTTTGCATAGTATCATTATGTCACACATCCATGGTCCTTTCAAGCTCCTGGCACTTTGCCTGAAATCAAAAAAGGAACTGAAGCATGAGGAAGCTACCATGGGCCACAATGCTAAAGAAGACGACTCTCCTCCCTCAGTGGCCATCAGCTGCTGACAGTTTCCTCAGTTAGGGCTGGGCCACATGAGTTCTGTGTTGTGAATACTGATTAGTGCCATATGCCCGTGTGTACATAAGCAGCACTATTTGGACTCGGTAAGTCTAAGGGGGGAGAATGAAGGAAGAGAAAAGAAGAAGAACAGGAGGAGAAAACATGAAGCTGGAGTGTGGCACAGTGGAGGAGGGGTGGTCTAAAT